TTATTAAAGCAATGATTAAATAAAATGTCATTATTACTCCTTCTGCCGCTGCTCGATGGAGACAAATATCACATAAAATGATGATCCCGGTTCTTCCAACATCAGCACTGCTGTGGACTACCACGGGACCGTTTCCACGTGGTGTCGCCAAGAGTTTCTTCAAGTACGTAACTACGGAGTGCGTGTACAATGGCACACCATAATCTGGCCAAGCCGTATAATGCAGATGTTCTATCTGATGTTGATGTGCGTTAGTTAATAAAAATTAATGTGTCCAGTAATCGTACAAAAATATCAGTACCTGTCGAGTTTCCTCTCCATAAGTGACGTGGAAAGTTCTAAAGCAATAATCAGCAAAAACATTGTGCCTCTTATTTAGCACAATAATGGCGCCATATTTCATCGTCTTCCCAATATCCGGCCAATATTGCTCACACTTAATCTATTATTAAAAAATTATTAAATTTTGCAAAAAGAGTAACAATTTAATAATTAATCAAAGAATTTACTTTTCCATTTTCGACCACATTTGCCAACATGCAAATAATAAGAACGTTTTCCTGCCAAATCATGCGCCAAAAATCGATGACTGTGGTAGATTTGGGTCCTTGCGTTGCTATATATTGCTTCTCCTTCTTATAGCCCTTTTTTAATAAATATATTTAAAAATTATTATTAATCGTTAATATTAATTAATTTTCAGTTGTTTAATTTGTATAAACACACAAAAATAATATTTATAATAATTTGCATTTTATATCTAAAATACTTATGATTAATCAGGACTTACAGTGATGTAATTAGCGTTGATGTAATCAGAATGAGCGTCATCCGGAAATTTCTTCAATATCACGCGCGTTTTGTCATCTGTACAAATCAGAAAGATATTAAGTTGCTGCGTACATATAACTATAGTCTACTATCAATTTTTTACTCCAACGCAATAAGATTTCTATATCGATTCTTAGATTTATTCTGCTGTAATTTACCATAATTCGACGATCGAGTTTGTCCTCTTGGGAACGTCTAAAAAAATTATAAAATAATCTTATTGTATTATTATGTAAGTAAATACAAATTTTATTTGTTATATCTGCATATAGATTAAAGGAAATAATAACGTTTTTCACAAATTGTTCACATGATAAGAATTTGTATTTAATCAAAATTTTATGCTATTTAATTCAACGTGCAAATATCAAGTTCTTGGTGTGCAATTTAATGGTTCAAGTATTAAAACAGATCAAGAATTCACCTCGTATTGCTTATCCAGCAACCCGGATTGTATTGCCTGTCTGACGTAATCTTCGAAATCTTTCACTTTTATTAACGAAGTCATCTCCTTCTTCTCCTCGTTGTGGTTTGCGGTAGCGATCGGCAATACTTCCGTAGTGGTTGCTCGATATAGGAAATGTTTATTAGGATTAGTCGAAGGATCTTGCTTTGAATTCGATAACACGGATTTCGTTTCGCGTTCGTGCATCTCAATATTTTGAAATAAAATCATCTTGTCTTGCATTAACTGTTTGGATAACTTCTGCATTTTCCTGTAAAAAATATTACAACTTTACACCGCAGCAGACGTAAATTTAATCTGTTCTTTATTAAAATTTGATTTGTAATATCAGCAGATAATTTTAGTCTAAAGTGCTAACACGATAAAGATAATAAATGTAGCCAGTAGTATTGCTCTGTCGTCTAAAAAGTAGAACGAAAAATACTACCTTCGATATAAGTAAAAAGCTGCACCTGCTACAACGAAAATTAATACAACAGGTATGAGCCATGCTTCGTAATGCTTCGGTAGAACTTCACCGACGAAAACTAATTTTGCAAATACAATTGGCTCATTGGGCGAATTCCGTTCGGTTATGATAATCACTATTTCATAAATCTCTTCAAGTTTAAACGGGCAATTCATTGCATTACCATAAATATTGTTGTCACCCATTCGAAATTGTCCGCCAGCGATTTCACTTGTCTGTCACAATTAAAAGTAAAGATAATTGATTCCAAAGATAGGTAACTCCGATATAGATATACATATATTATATCGTGTGTGTGTGTGCGCGCGCGCGCGTATTTCAGAGATAACATTTTCATTAATATCACAGTTGTAATTTATATAAATTTAATCTTATTTCAATTATTTGTATATATGAAACAATGTTATAGCTATTAATTTTTGTAGTTAAACTTTATTATTGCAAGTTTTATTCATGATTTTTATGCAGAATTCACAACTATTTTGTATACATACAGAAACTTCAGCAGCTTGCCAAGCGTTTTCATTCATCTTCACGCCTGCTTGCAACCGTAGTTTTTCAGGTACTTCCAAATGTTTCTCGCACAGATTAGAACCCTTTACAATTATATGCATCGTGCTGTCTTGAGTATCATTTGAGACAGTCGGTATATTTAATAAAATTGTGGAACTGGATTTCTCTACCATGACGTTTAGAATACTATCGAAAACTGCTGTTGAAGGCGTACGAATTTCCACGAACTTTATGGGACTGGTTTTATTTTCAACTGTTACAGCTTGAATAGAGATGAAGTATTGCGTTGACGGGAGCAAATACAATCGCAAATTGTAGTTTCGCATGTATTGTGTCACCAGATACTTGAGTGTTTTGTTCGTGAGTGATCGGGAAAGGCGCATTCTCAGATTTGAGGAAGTTTCTTGTATTTCAATGCGAAAATATTCAAGATGACCAGCTGTCCTCCAAGGATGAAGCCACTTTAGATCAATCACACTGTTTCTGTTGATCGTAAAAGTGTAATTCTCCGGCGCGTCCAGTACTGAAATGTATGTCCAATGCTAAATGTAATCTAGTTGATTGTAATCAGTACATTTTCACATAGGAGCAATAATAATATTAACTTGCAATATATTTTGAGGAAATTCTAATAAGTCACTAAATAATTGTTTCCACATAATATAAATTAAACAGTTACAATATAAGACAAAACTTCTCGTTAGCGTTTTTTAAGTTACAGCAAGTACTTATAGTCAATATACACATTATTCACAGCAAAAAAATGAAAATGAAAAGAATGTACACATTGTTAATATCGTACATATTATGGTTAGATTCAATTTCAAGAAAATTCATAATACCAAGCTTTTATAAAGTTTTAAAATTATTTACTAAGTTTTAAATTTTAATCAATAATTGAAATGTAATAAGGCTAGTGGAAACTCGGTGCGATAATTGTTGCGCAGAGTTTATGCGAATAATTAATATACATCCATTATGCATAAGATAAATATAATTTTAAACGTTTTGATCCTCTTTTTGGCCATCCTTAGTAGTACATGAATTACATATGGTATAATCTTATGATTGTTATTAGGTAGACTGTATTTCCATTATGCCGCAAATTGTATAAGGACAAAAAGTTAGAGATAAAAGTATAAATTAATAAATATTTAAATGATCATTACAAAATACAGTCATAATAATAAGTGTTAATAATGCTCTGTATACACAGAAAGAATTTTAATGTAAAATTTACCCTGAAAATTGTGTTAATTGTAGGACAATATAGCATTTTGACAAATTTTATGTGATTTTTACTATTTCTTTAAATATGTACTACAACAAATTTATTATAAAAACAACAAAAAAACAACAAAAATTACATAAAATTTACCGAATTTCTTTGTCTTCCCACGATTAACATGATTTTCAGAATAAATTTTAAAAGAAAATTCTTGTGATTTCTAAGCGTCAAGATTTAAAAAATTGAAGGCTGAAACGTTTTAAAATATATTTATGTGACGCATATAATGGACGTACGTTAATTATTCTCCTAAACTCTACGCAACAATTACTGCGACGATTCTCACTAGACTATTACATTTCAATTGATGATTATTTCTGGAAATCTTTTAATTTATTAATTTTAAATTTTACTTGTGTTACGCTGCATGTCTTCAGTCACAGACATCGGAAGACCTGGTTCAGTAACATTTATGTTGTATGCGAAAACCTGTAAAACATATTTTGTATTACACAATTTGTACCATCCACTTTTCTTTATTTATTATAACATAACTTAACATAAATTATTTACGTTTATCAGAAATATTGAACATTTTGTGGAACTTATTATTATTTTACCTTAATTCTTTGAAAAAGTGTGGACGATTTTTTAACAATTGTGCAAATATAATCGTCCCACAAGTCACAAGACTCATTGAGTTGAACTGTAATATTTGTGCAAAGTGATTCGCATAATTGGACAACATAATTACGCAATTTTCCATTGAGAGGTAGACGCGGACTTTGCCATCTCAAGTGTATCATGGGAGGCAATTGACGAGTATCAATCTCCACAACCTCTAAATTGGTTACTTTAGGCGGAGCTGTTCCAATTATGTGTTATAATTATAGAAAAAAATTATCAAGTAATATTAGTAAAAATATTAAGTTTTACCTGTCGGCGGAGTTTCAAACTCGTATTTCTGATAAGCGGAAGCATTTTCTTTGCTCAAGAAATCTCTTATTACGTAAATTGTTGCCAAGTATCGCTCAACACCGTTTAATTTCGGACTTAATTGAGCCAAATCCAAGGATTTGTAGCTGGTCTCTTTGATTACATTGTAATCTTTAACAGCGTCACTAACACCCTGTATTTTTATTCTGGTTTTCAATGATCCCGAAATCGTTGTACAATCTTCGGGCGGACTCCATGACAATGTCCAGTCTTGTACTCTCAACTGACTAAATATTTCTGATGGTATCTCTACAAAACCACTGAGTCCTATTCTTTCTGTGATAAACTTTTATACTTATACGTAATATACCAGATATTATAAAATCTTTATTGGAAATTAATAAACAATTAATGGATTAAACGGTGTTCTTTCTATCTTTAGTATAACAATAATTCTAGTGAATGATATAATGTATATATACCAGATTGTGATGTGTTGAAAATTGTCTCTGTGTAATTACTGAAATGACGTGAGTTAAGAGCTATGACCTGCGCACTATAAAATGTGTACGGATGTAAGTCCGAAATTGTGATCGTTGGCTCTATTGTAGATTTTGTAATAAGGTGATTATACGGC